ACTCGGCGGGGCAATTCTCGTCACCAGATGGAGACCTCATTGTCACATCCTTGGAAAGACCTGCAAAGAAAAAAGAAATGAGTAAGGGCTCAACAACACAAAGGAAACCTAAGTGTTATCCACTCAAGAAAAGAATCTCACCATGAGAACAGGCCTCCCACCGGCCCTTCAAAAACTCGTGCCATGCGCGCTCAGAATACGGTTTCTGCGACACAATGCCCTTGACCCACTCCTTGAGTCGAGGAACTACATCCGGCATCCGAGCAACAGTCGCACCACCACAAAACATCGATGAGAAGGGAGGAAAAGGGAAAGCGATGAACAAATTATTAAAAACAAGATTATACTTACGTGTCATGTTCCACTTCTCAAGGAATGGTATGTGCTCGGCTAGGATCAAATCCGAGGTCTTCACTCGGACATATCGGTCTAACCAGCCTCGATCCCGATCTTCATCGATGTTCAAGAACGGGGCCTTACTGGCCCGACGAGCAAGCTTGATTAGTCCTTCTCGATAAAGTTGGGGACTATATAGGCGCATAAGATGGTCGAGGGTGAAGGGATACCCCTCGATCTTGCTTACAAAAAAATGAAGGAGAATTACTATCCTCCAAAACGAAGGGTGAATTTGACTAAGGGTCACTTCGTACCTCTTACAGAATGCGATAATGACCGGGTCCAAGGGACCCAGCGTGAAGGGAGAAGTGTAGACACTTAAAAATCCCTCCACGTGGGTAGTAATGGCTTCCTCGGGCTTGGGGACCATTACGTGCTTATTAGCCCAATTGCAATCTTTCTTGACCTCGAAAAGTATGTCCTCGGTGATCGAGCAAATATATCTCGAGACCGACTCACACCGAACTGGTACTGAGGAGGGCTTCTCGTTCTTAAAATCAGCACCGATCAGACACCCCCCGGGGATGAATATTTTCAGAGGAGGTTCCGGTGCCGGTTCCTCGGTAGCAGCATACGAAATATTTTCCTCTACAGCTGGTCGCGAGGCAGATGAATTTTGTTTTTGGGGAACGGAGTTTGACGTCTTCGCCATTTCTTTGATAGATGAAGAAAATAAAGGGAGTTTAAAGATTAAACTTGATGGTTGGGGATAAAAACAGAGCTGAAGTTCTTGAAAAATGATTTAAGAATAGCCAGAAATTTAATGCTGAGATGTGTTGAAATTTCTAAGAAACAAGAGTAGAGAAGATTTGGATGTAAAGTTTGAATGAATGAAGAAGGGGGTATTTATAATTTCCAAATGACGGTTCAAAATCAGGAGTGGCCGACCAGCAACTGACGAGCATGTAATGCCATTAAGACAGTGACGAGACATTCCGTTCATTTTGTCGTTTCTGACGCGAAGTATCGAGGTGAGAATCGAAAGCTAATATCATTTCTCGTCGTTTATTCTTCGAAAAACGAGGGGACTATCTGTATACGGTCAAAATCGGGCTCGACTATTGCATAACAGATCGAACTCGGAACGCGAGGGGCTGAAGATTGACCCCGAGTCTCATCAAACTGGAACACGAGGTCAGAATGTCCGTCTTCGAGAACATTGAGCCCATGATCCCGGAATCGACCTTGACCCCAAATAAGCTTGAGGAAGCATTGCCGGTATAACCAACAGAAGACCGAAATAACGGAAGGCCGAAATATCCATAACTGGTCGGATATTTCGGCGGGAATCTCGGCACGTATCAATAAAGAACCGGCAAATCAGCAAACCAGGAGATTTTTACCTTTTATAAAATTGTACCTAAAATAGGACTCTCCTACTATATAAAAGGGGTATGATTACTTATAAAACACATTGTACGTAACACGCATCCCAAAGTAGTATATTATTATTCTCTTCAAGTTCTTATTATTCTGTTATTGTTCTGTTATCAATAAAAGCATTTTTGGCTCGAGGGTGACTAACCTTCAAAGGCTAAGACTGTTCAACTTAAGCGGTTTGCATTCACTTTTTCATTACTTGTTTCAATTGCAATCTGATTTGTCGTTTAGTAACAAATTAAATCACGTATCCTTAAAATCACTTATAAATTCAATTGTTATTCGATTTTGAGGGAAAACAAATAATTAATTAGTTTAAATCAATCTGATACTTCAATCTTTATCGTTTAACTTTAATGATTTCTTATACTTATAATAGTCTGTGGCTGTTGAGACAAGGCTTGAATCTGATTTATGCATTGTAATGCAAAATATTTTAGTGACGTGTCTGAGTTGATAATCTAGATCATAAATAATTTGGTACAACCAGTTAAACTATTTTCTTGAAAAAATTCAAACAATCAGTATATATTTTTCGTCTTAACTACTACTAGAGTTTCTTTTAAGATACCCACTAATTAATTTTATCATGATGGCCATGAGCCAAAGTATTTACTGCCTTTATTTTGATATTTCAACAATTATGAATTATGATGGACTTCATAGTTACTTTCTTTTTACATATATCAATTTCAAATGCACTTCATTGTGATCTCACTTAGGATAATTTCAAAAATTACCCAAGTCAAAAATGGTTACACTTAATTTTCTTGTTGCATAGGATACCTTTATCCTAGGATACTTAATAAAAGAGAAGTTGAATAGGAAATTGAAAGGTGAAAGTAATCAAAAGCAAAATGTGAAATTTTTAATAAGCATGCTGTATGATTAAATGGTAAAGTAACATTTCAAGCTATCCAATACTATAAAATCTCAAAAAGAAAAATTTCTTTGTCCTCCTTTATTCTCCTATCTAACTTTTAAAAACTTTTCCAAAAGTTTATTTTATTTTATAAATGTATAAACAAAAATTACTGCATGTAATTTTTTCTTCTAAAAGTGCACGAAAAGATAGACCCTCATGTATTGACAAAAGGCAGAAAATCAGTCACACGTGGTGTTCGTTATCCTCTAAAGCGAAAAATTGAAGTATGAAACTTATTCAGCAAGAATGTTTTGGTGATGACTGATTAAAAAAGAATGCAAAGTAAAAAAGGTCTTTTCTGCAAACATACAGTTGGTTGAGCTTTTGACTAGCTAATAAATGTGTATGACATATTGTGGCTGCAGTTCGAACATTAATAAGTAATTTTCTCATTGTATTCTAACTAATTGATTCGCAATCTATCTAAAAAACACTCTTAATATATAAGTAACTTGCTATAATCCGTCAAACTAGTTAGTTAATGTATATAAGTAACTTGCTATAATCCGTCAAACTAGTTAGTTAATGTATGTAAATCGTATGCATGGTCAGTATTGCTAAAAAAAGATTCTTTTACGTGACTCAATCCAGCATTTGGCTGCAAATTTGAGCATTAAAGTTAAATGGTTGACAACTGAGGCTTGCTCAGTTGGTAAAAGACACCTCCACCCACGACCGTTAGCTCCTGGGTTCGAGTCTCATTGTAGGAGAAGTGTGGAAACACTATAGATCCTCCTAATTTGGGAGGGGTTTAAGAAAAAAAAAAGTTAAATGGTTTTTTTTTTTTTTTTGTGTGTGTGTGTGTGTGTGTGTTGTGGGGTGGTAAAGCAACCAAATACTAAGGTGGTCATTTAAGTTTCTCCTTGTATTCCTTTAGGCTTTTGCTTTGGCCTTTCACTTTCAGCACTTTTGAGGTGACTCTCGCTATTCTCCTCTTGTTATAGTGCATGACCTTTGTCAATGGCTAAAAGCTAAAATCCCACTCCGACTTTATATCTCAACAGCTACTGATAAAGATTTGTCTTCCCTCTGATTGGGTGATATGGTCCTACTCTAATTTACGTATAGAGGTGGAAAAGGGAAAACTATTATTATTAATACTGCTCCAAGCTAAGCTCCATAAGTTAATTTAGTTAGCATTTCATCATTGGTTCTCTGTATATGAATAGCAACAATATGATATTTTTGAGACCCCATATTTTAAAACAAGTAAAATTCGAACAATATATTTTGTACATGATGTTATAGATAGACTAACAATAAACATAATGTTTATTTTTTGTCTTGGTTACTCAAATTGTAAAGAGAGGAGTCCTCTCTATCATATATGAAAATGTCATTGTCTATCCGTTATCACAATTTAGAGCAATTCCACTCATACTTTTCAGAATTGGAAATGTCCAATTCATCTTTTATTTTTATGGAGATTAGGTTTTATGTCCATCTCAGGCATGTATTCTATTTTTGGATTTTAATATACAAGGTAAGGGTCCAAGACAAACTCCAGCCACATAAAAAAAAAAAAAAGAAGAAGTAAAATTCGAAGATGTATCAACGTGCGAGATAAACTCTGGGCTAGAATCAATTCATTAAACTAGTCCTAAGTTCTAACCCCATATAATTTTGCCAAACATGTCTTCTAGAAACGTGGTACGATCTGTTAGCTTGCCTCTTGTTTTGGTCATTTGATAATGATCGGCCAAATGCATTAGAAAATATTGTTACTACTACTTTTTACCATTTAATCTACCAAGTCAGCAAATTTTCTTTTTTTTTTTAAAATTTAAAAAGGTTACTAGCTAATTTACTTTAATGCAAAGAAAAAGCTCCCACCATACAAAAGGAAAAAGGGGCCACGACAAAGGCTCTACTGCTTTTTAAGACAAGTGACTAGTCAAAATAACCACATTTTCAAGAAGCAGAAACAAACGACGCTCCTTACTTTTTCTTTTTGCCAACAGTGGAAATTAATTAAATAGATAAAAATAATTTTACAAAATGTAATGTGAAATGGACTCAATCCACAAATTTGTTTTCCGCCAAATTTTGTTGTGAGTAATATTTTATTTAACTATTTTTTTATTAGTCTGTTCTAAAAAAAATGACAATATTATATTCTAATATTTTCTTAATAAGAAGTTTTTGTTTCCACATAAGTATTAACATGCATGCTTAAGATCACATCAGTTTATTTATTTTTTTTATGATTTTTTCCGAGACCCCATATTTTAAAATTTCCTCCCTCTTTAGTCAAATTAACTAATGAACTATATATGTCAAACAAATTAAAAGGAGGGAAGAAAAAAAGTTGTTTTTAACCAATGATACCCTCCACTTTCTTTCCAACAACTTTGATTGGAAAATCGAATGCTACAGCATAACGCTGATTAGGAATATATTATGAGATTGAACCTCTTTGCCATTATACAGAAGTTTTGATTAATTTCCTAAGGATACTTGTTTGGTGAGTAATATCCCTCTATCAATATATTATACTGATCTGCTCCTAATTATAGAGCAGATCTTTACAAGGCCCTCTTCTTAATTGTTAGCATTTAATGTTTTTTTGGATGTTCTTGATAACTTGGTCCTGCTTCTTTTTGGGCAACAGTTGTCAATATCTGTTCCCATTTAAACAGTTTTATGTTTCATTATGCTGCAGGATATGGGGCTAGAGAAGAATTATGCTGAGCTGAAAAGACAATTACCAGTCAGTGAAAATCATAATTCTTCAAAGGAAGAAGTTGATGTAAGAAGATTCATTACCAAATTTTCATCTGACATGCATTTCTAGTTCTGTACTTGCTCTTTTAGTTACATGATTATGCTTTTTCATATATAGGGAAAAAGGGCTAGCAAGATTAGCTGGAGAGACTGAAACTTGAAAAAGAACGAAGAAAAGGAATAACTGAAATAAATCATCAGCTGTAAATAGACTGCGAGCTGAAGTTAATTCAGTCAATCAATCAACTAAGTGTTAACGCCAAACTAGTTGGAATCGGCTATATGAATCCTATATTTCCAATTCTGCCTATCGGCGTAACTGGTAAAGTTGCCTTCATGTGACCAGGAGGTCACGGGTGAGCCGGGATAAGGTTGTGTATAATAGACCTTTGTGGTCCGGCCCTTTCCCGAACCGTGCTTATAGCGGTATCTTAGTGCACCGGGCTGCCCTATTTTAGGCTCATTACACTGATCAAATTGACTTTTTGCTCAGCTATTTCTTCTTGTTTCAATTTGCTTGTAGACTGCTAATGAGGATCTGATTAAAGAAGTTGCTGTTTTGGAGCTGGAAGTTATGTATTTAGAGAAGTATCTTCTTTCACTTTACCGAAAAACATTTGCTAAGCGGTTAGAATCACTGTCTGTGAAGGATGACAAAACAAAATCCAATTCAGCTACCAAAGAAAGGAAACTTTCAGAAGTCAAGAAGCACAACAACAAATCGAAGGAAAATCCAATAACTAATAGTACTAGTCCTTCTTTGTCGCCTTTCGGAAATCCACCAGAAGAATGTACCGAGAAAAAAGGAGCTCCAAACTTAGTTGACACTACTATTCTGAGAAGCCACTCATCATTGTCTCACACTGCTGCTTCTTTCAAACCTTCGCCTTCAGTCGGATTTCTTGCTGATGCTGTAGATTCATACCATTCTTTGCCTTTGTCAATGCTTGAGGTAAGTAATGTTAGAGAATGCAGTGTGTTTAAAGTTTATAGTTTTCTAGAATAATTAGTTTTTTAGCTATAGGAGGAGTCTATTATTTGGTTTTGCTAGAACATTCAGTCTTTGATTTTGCTAGAACATCCGAATCTGAACCTGTACAATTTAAATCTTGGATACGCGTGTAGTGTACTTTGGTTATAGGCGGAGTCTACTACTTTCTTTGTGTGGTTATTTAAAGCCCTATGATTAATGACTAGACTTATTATTGCTATTGTCTATTTGTGATGCGACTGACAATGTCAAAATTGTATCATGTAATTGTAACCAGCATGCTCAGGTATCCACTTCAAATGGAAGAGCGGCAGAACATTTTGTTACTAGTTCTTCAAATCATTTTCGACGTGTCCCAAACCAGCTGTCTGAAGAAATGATTAAGTGTATTTCAGCCATATATTTTCAGCTTGCTGATCCCCCTTTGTTCAGTTATGATTACCCATTCTCACCAATCTCGTTATCATCATCAACGCTGGAATCCTTTCCTCAATGTCAGACCGATATGGGGGCTTTACAATGCGAAAAAAGTTCATCTTCCAATTCAACAATGAATAACCCTTTTCACATTAAAGAGTCGAGAGAATATAGTGGATCGTTTGTCACAATGATTGAAGTGCAAGGGCTATGTCGAGATAAACGGAGCTTAGATGGTGTAGAGCACATGTTACAACATTTTAGGTAAGGCTACTACCTCAATTTGTAGTTTGCATTTTCCTCTTGCAAATAAAGAATTGTACCTAAACATATGTAACCTAAAGTTTTTCAGTAAGATTTCCGAGTTGTGTAACTTAGTACTTAAAAGTTCTTCAACTTGCCAATACAGGTATCTAGTCTCAAAATTGGCGGAAGTTGATCCGAGAAAGCTGAAACATGAAGAAAAGCTAGCTTTCTGGATTAATGTCCACAACGCACTAGTGATGCATGTAATAACATTTCTGTAGCAAAATTTTCTGCAGAAATCTATACTGCGTATCAGGATGTGAAGAATTAGTAACAAGCATTGTATATGTTGCAGGCATTCTTAGCTTATGGAATTCCGCGAAGTAATCTCAAGAGAGTATCTCAACTTCTCAAGGTAATAATAGTCTGATGTCTATGAAAACTTATTTAGGTGCTTTACTGGTTCTTATAAGTCCAGAGGTGGATTCAGGATTTGAAGTTAATATACAACGACTTCAAGTTAATATACAGTAATAGTTGGGGCAATAGTCAAATATTTATGGATATTTAGTTGATTTCTTAATACACATAGGGTCTGGGCGAAAACTACTGGCGTGAACCCATAAATGACACTCTAGATTCATTGCTGCTTATAGCTTGGAACATTTTTCTTGTTACAGGCTGCTTATAACATTGGAGGGAATACAGTAAATGTGGAGATGATTCAGAGTTCTATACTAGGATGTCGATTGCCCCGACCAGGTCAGGTAAATCCCATTCTTGCTTTTCTACTTAACTTCAGTCCCCTGATTCCCTCTGGTTCATGCATTATAGATTGTTAATTCATTAGACTCGTGAATGTTATGTATAATAATGAGTTTCACTTGTGTTCTCAAATGGAGATTATTGAACTTAATTTTTCCTGTAGTGGATTCAATCATTGTTCTTTCCAAAGCAAAAATTTAAGGCTGGAGATGCAAGAAAAGGATATGCAATAGAGCGCCCAGACCCTCGCCTACGCTTTGCTCTATGCTCAGGAAGCCATTCTGATGCTCTGGTAAGTGTGTCACATAATTTGAAACGGAAGGAGCAACAGATACGACTATTTTTCTACTTTGATATTAGTTTCGTTTTACTTCACTTCTCACTCCATGTATTATGTTTAGCTACGGTTGTACACGCCAAAGAGAGTATTCCAGGAGCTTGAAGTGGCTAAAGAAGAGTACCTTCAGACAAACACAAGGGTAAACAAGCAACAAAAACTACTACTCCCAAAGAATGTGGAATCTTATGCGAAGGAAGTTGATTTGTGCGCTTCTGGATTGATGGAAATGATACAACACGCATTACCTGAACATTTCATAAAGAAATATCAAGGGAGAATATTGAAGAAAATTGATTGGATTCCTCACAACTTCACGTTCCGTTACCTAATTTCACATGAATTGCTCGAGTCTGTCATATCGTTATGATCAAAATCACTGTCAAGTTGATCAAAACTGTTCAGTTTAGCAGATAGTTTTGAGCTGCTAATCTGAGAAGTGGCATAGCTTTGACCTATGTTACAAGATCCTTCATTTGTCTTGACATAGCCATATTAACAGGTGTTACAAATACTTTGTGCGGATTTTTCAAAATACACTGGAATTGCATATACTTGTATCGGATGCTTAAACACGCATATTTTGGATATGTACCTGTAGTTGAGTCTATGTAATATAATCTGTGATTCAACTGTCATTTTCTCATTTTAATGAATGAGTTTTGTAATATTTTGGTCACAAACTGCAACTCTTTTTCCTTTTGTGAAACATCTTTTAGTTTGAGCATTTGCTCTAAGTGGGACATGCATGCAAAAAGCTAAAATTGCAGCATATGACTATTGTTCCTTAGGTCGTTTTTTATAGCCGACAAAATTTTAGGCGATACGGGTCCGGTCGCCCTGATGCATGCACACGGAAATCTGGGAATCGGAAGGATTCCAGTTTTATGGCCCTAAATCGCCAAAAACGAGGAACGGTCATGGAAAAAAGATGGCTAGTGTTCCTTAGGTCGTTTTTGATGGGCCGACAAAATTTTAGCCGATTCGGGTCCGATCGCCCGGATGCATGCAGATGGCGTGGGCTATAGCACACGAAAATATGAGAATCTAGCGGAATTCCAGTTTTATGTCCCTAAAACACCAAAAAATGAGGAACGGTCATGGCGAAAAGATGTCTATTGTTTCTTAGGTCATTTTGATGGGCCAGCAAAATTTTAGGCGATTCGGGTCTGGTCGCCCGGATGCATGCAAATGGCGTGGGCTATAGCACATGAAAATCTGGAATTGGGCGAAATTCCAGTTTTATGGCCTTAAAATACCAAAAAAGAGGAACGGTCATGGCGAAGTGAAGATTATTGTTCCTTAGGTCATTTTTTATGGGCCGACAAAATTTTAGGCGATTCATGTCCGGTCGCTCGGATTCATATAGATGGCATGGGCTATAGCACACGAAAATCTGGGAATAGGGCGGAATTTCAGTTTTATGGCCCCAAAACGCCAATGAGGAACGGTTGGAGAAGCGATGACTATTGTTCCTTAGGTCGTTGCTGATGGGCAGGCAAAATTTTAGGCGATTCAAGTCCGGTTGCCCAGATGGATGCAGATGACTATTGTTCCTTAAGTCATTTTTGATGGTCTGGCAAATGTTTTGGCGATTCGGGTCCGGTCGCCCGGACCAATACAGATGACGTGAGCTATAGCACATAAAAATTTGAGAATCGGGCGAGATTCCAATTTTATGGCCTTAAAACGCCAAAAAACGAGAAACGGTCATGGCGAGACGATGACTATTGTTCCTTAGGTCGTTTTTTATGGTCGGACAAAATTTTAGGCGACTCGGGTTCGGTCACCCGGACCCATGCAGATGGTGTGGCTATAGCACATGAAATTTTGGGAATCGGGCGGAACTCCTGTTTTATGGCCCTAAACGCCAAAAAATGAGGAACGGTCTAGGTGATGCGTTGAATATTGTTCCTTGGGTCATTTTTTATGGTCTGACAAAATTTTAGGTGACTCGGGTTCGGTCGCCCGGACCCATGCAGATGGCGTGGGCTATAACACACGAAAATCTAGGAATCGGGCGGAATTTCAGCTTTGGGCCTAAAACACCAAAAAATGAGGAACGATCTTGGCACGGCAATGACTATTGCTCCTTAGGTCGTTTTTATGGGCTCGTAAAGTTTTAGGAGATTCGGAGTTGGTCACTTGAATTCATGGAGATGGCGTGGCCTATAGCACACGAAAATCTGAGAATTGGCCTAAATTCCTCTTTTAGGGCCCTAAAATACCAAACAATGAGGAACGGTCATGGCAAAACGATGACTGTTGTTCATTATGTCGTTTTTATGGGCCCGAAAAGTTTTAGAAGATTCGGGGCCGGTTGCCTTAATTTCATGCAGATGTCGTGGGTGATAGCACATGAAAATCTAGGATTCGTCCTTAATTCTAGTTTTATGGCCCTCAAATTCCAAAAAATGAGTAACGGTCATACCGAAGCGATGACTATTATTCATTGGGGAATTTATGGGGACTACCTATTAAACTTATACTAATTACCCGGTTGTACCCACTTGGATAATAATTACTATACATACCTATTACATATAAAATTATTACCCGTCCATCCATTAAGAAAGTCTTTAAAGGCTTTAGGGGCAATGAACCTATACCTAACTCACACATGATCTTCCTTCCTTCAATCCAAGGTAAGAAATATTTTATTTCTCTCTTCATTAATTTTCTCTCTTTGTTCTTACTTTTATTTTCATACGTAAAATTTTTTATCTGATAGGCAATATTTTTGTAATATTCACAGTAAAATATTGACAAATTAATGGGTGAAAGGAGTAGCAATTTTTGTTTTAGTTATGTGATGATTTTGTATATACAACAAAAGAGGTTTGCTCAATATCTATAAATTACGATTCAATTAACTCTGTCACGGTCCCAATTTTTCTCTATAAAATATCGTGATGGTACCTGGCCTTAGGGACTAGGTAAGCCTAATACTTACTGAATTAAAGGCAAACTCAACCAACAACTATTAAATATGAAACAGAAACTTATCAATACAAGCCAACAATCCCAAAACCGGTAGTACAAGTCATAAACTCTACAGAGTTTACTAGAAAATCTCTAATACAACTGTTCTAGAATAGAATTAAACGGTACAAAATAAAATTTCAGAAGGTGACTTTGAGGCCTGCGAATGCAACATCAGGTATACCTTGAGTCTCCACAACAATGTCCGATCAACTAGCTAATGATCAACAAACTCCGAGGTACCTGGATCTGCACAAAAATATGCAAAAAGTGTAGCATGAGTACACCACGGCGGTACCCAGTAAGTATCAAGACTAACCTCGGCGGAGTAGTGATGAGGGCCAATCAAGACAAAATACTGGACTTAATATCCTGTACAAGTATGAATGTGCAACTAACAGGGAGCAATGTCATTATAAAACTAACCATGGTAGAAGTAACAAAACAATACTCACAATAGGAAACTAGAGACAACAATTAGAAACATGGAATGAACAGGTAACATACTGTAGAGTAAGTTGAACACTCTTTAATTCCAGTGAAACCAAATAAAGGAAAATAAGTAACAACTCAGTAAGAACAATCGCTTTCACACAAGATTTATTCAAGAATTTCCTCGAGGTACCAAACCTCAAAATCACGAATCATGGGTCTCGAATCACGAGCCCAAATCGCTTGGCATCTTGTACCCACATTATAAATTTCAACCTCACGGACTACTCACGTGCCAATTCCATTAATCTCATATCCGCACGGACAACTCACGTGCTAGCAATAACAATAATTCATAACTGAACGGACAACTCAGTACCAATAGTACAACTCTCACACAGAAGGCAAGTATACGAGGATATATGTAAATGATCAATAGACATCATGGTTCATCTTCTCTAAACGATATGGGTGATTAATTGCGTGTATGCTTGTGCAAGTGTTCTATCATAATTCGAGTCAACATGAAAGAGTAGAGACAACAAATGGCATATAGTGAACAATCACCACAAAATGTACAAGAATAACTCACACAAGGTAGGCACACCACTACACGAATAATATCAATAACAATACCCCCAGGCCAACACAAGTCATCACAAATTATCCCCGACATAGCCCACCTTGTCTCACCACGTGC